GGATTTATTTCCTCAACGACGCCTCCTCGCAGCTTATGTACGAGACTTGTCGAATTGGATTTGCGTCGAAAGGATCCTCTCGCAGACGTCAAGAACTTCTCGTTCTCCTTCTTCATCCAGCTCATCGTTATCCTGCCAACTGCAGTCAACGATGCACCTACAACCGCGTACAATCCTCCTGACGATTCCCTTCTCCTCTCAACGTCTGACTTTTGACGTTGGATTTATCGTCCAGGAACATCCGTCTCTCTTATCGATATACAGCTGCTTAACTAACCATGTTCACAAAGCCTCTGCAAAATCTCCGAATTTCGCTAGTGGAATTATACATATGAAGGTCGTTAATTAAGCGCTGAGCTCTAGGACATATAGATATCAAGAATCCTCTCACTATGAAATATATTTCAAAGTTCTAAGTCACGTATCTATTATGGGAATTAATGCAAACACTGTATTTCTGTGAGAATTTTTCGACAATTTCAACAGCAGTAAAGTCCATTGGAAATGAACGATTTATGGAAAGTCATTGAGCTTCTCGTAATTACATTTTACGCTCGCGGCATGTATCGATGCAAATTTTTCTCGTATCGTATTTTCACACAACTAACTACAATATTTATCGATGACCAGAGGAATTAAAATAATTTTTCGATGCCTTTTATCGCGATTGTTGCAGGAATCGGTTGCAAATATCATCAAAGTAGTAGCGAAATATAGAAATTAATTGCCGTACGTTAATCAAAACGATGTTACCATATTTTTTCGCTTTTGAACGAAATTGATTGCGTGTTTCTCCAGCGATTCGAAAAATCCTTCCGCTTATAATTTCACAACTATGAAAGAGAATGACGATTCCGAAACAGAGTTCTGCACGGTGATGGAGTTCGACAGGTTTTGCAATATGTGCAGGTGCAGCGTGACCATTCCACGATTTTCTACGCATTCTGATTTCCGTTCCAGCCGGGAAAGTAGCGCTTTTTCGACATGACGCTTCGCTGTCATCGTTGCACCCTCCTCTTGCCCTCCCTTTCGCCTCTCTACTCTCTCTGCCATCAACTGTGTTTATACGAACATTATAGCACCACCACTTTGTGCCCGGCAAGTCTAATATTTTACCAGCGAGAGCACTTCGGCGTTCCATTTGTATGGGCTACGCTAGTTTGCACCGTGCACACTGAAATACCCCGGCAGAAATAGAAGGACAAAAATGTTCCGCGTGAAAATTCGCTGCTTCGAAAGGTTTTATTTGCTCTATCGCGCGTTCTTTTCTCGTCTGCATCCTTTTTTATTTACGGTTCTTTTACGATTGGAATGACAAGTATTTGCAATTTTTTTCGAACGATCGATGAGTAACGAAAGACATTTCATATATTTTACATCGATGTTACATCCATTTTTTATCATCGAACGCGTGAATGATTTTACGATGGAATTAATGAACAAAAATTTTTCGTTGTAACTTTTAGTAGCGTTATTCGATTGAATTATTATCGATAACGTAAAATTTCATTTGTAATTGCAAATATTTTCTAGATAAATGAATCCAAATTTTTTTCTTTCATATTAATCAAGTGGTGCTAATCACCAATGGACTTCTACAACGTGTTAATAGTTTTTATTAAAGTGTATCGTACTATACACAACCATTTCCAGAGTGACGGTAAACGTATTAAATATGTATAAATCTTCCCTTTTTTTCCCCCTATTTTCTTTCTGTATATGCGTGTGTGCAAATGCGATAAACCACTTTGAACGTCATGCGTGTACCATGCGTTTGGCACGTACCATATGTCACATGGAAATCGATGGCATCGGGCTACGTATCGGTGCTCCTAAAAACGTCCAGCGAACTTGATAATATCGAAGCGTGAATCAATTATATTACTTCGTCTTTTGAATATTTTAAATCATTCTGTGTATTTATGCACCTTTCTCCCAGGAATATCAAAATTTTATTCAAACACGAGGATCGATATGAAAATAAAAATTCGAAGAAAAGTGAAATTTTTGTTCACCCAAAGCAATTAACTAAATTATTTCATGCTATTAGGAGAAAACGATGGGCTATTACTCGCGTATTCTAATAGCGGCGAAGTTAGGCTTGCGGATTAAAGGGAGATCCCTAATATCATTTTCCTTGCCATTAGAGGGTTTATGGGTCCCATGATCCTGATATATTCGAACGAGAACGACGTAATACGAATAACTATCCCGATTGGAATGCTTCTACGAATCAGATAAAACGTATTTTTTCACGCAAACGAATTCGTAGCAATTGGTGAACTCTCTCTCTATAAGACCATTTGAATGATAGTGCATAACAATTCATGTTTCAAAGCGACTCGGTGCGTCGTGTCGATTGGATTTCGCTGAAACTATTCGTTCGAATTCTGTAGTGTCGGTTCGCGTCAATTTCCTCGCTTGGATTACGTACCGATCGGTTACTATCAAAGTAATTATTTTCACGCGAATAATATTCAAATTCATTTACACTTGATTTTAAATTCAAATCTCTTACCAAGTGCTGCTATTTTAAAATATTACTTACACATAAGCATTGGGTCACGATAGAACGATCATAGAAAATATAGAAAACGTACCTAATATTAATTCATCATACAAAACAGACGATCGCGAGGCTTAATTCGTTTCACCAATGGATCGAGAAGAGAATAAATTTCGCACGCGTCTTTCGCACGCTCGCGTATGTTTGCGTAAATCACGCCCGCTCGTCGATGCAAGACACGTGTAAATATGTACGGAATCACAGATATGGAAGCGTGGGCGTACGTGTTTGTTCCTATATAAATTTCCCGTGCAAACCGGCAATCGGCGTTCGTCGATTGGATTGCAAATCACCTGCGTACTTGCTGACCGACGTATTAATCGCGACGCATCCTCTGGACGTGCGCACTGGCTACGTTCGAACGGACAACGGCCGCGGTTCGGCGTCGCGACGCTCCTGTCCATCGATCAACCGAGATCTCATAAAATCGAACCTCCTTGGACCGGCTGGATATTCGTAAATCTGCTCTCTCTTCGTTCCGACGATTCCAAGTTTTTTTTTTTTCATTCTGCATTTTTGACAGCCGACGATTTTCCAGTCTTAGAGAACCAGTTCGATGGTGTTATTTATTGCTCGAGGATACCGTGCAATGGAATTGTCACGATAAATAACGTCCCGGACCTGTCAAATTAATTCTTTCCATTCTGAAACATTCCCTGACAGACAATGAGAAAGTGGTGACCGGTCGTAAAATATTACCGTTTTTTCAGCAAATTTTTTATTCCACCTGCGTACATGTAGGTTCAGGTTTTGATATTTTATTACGGTTGGAAAAGATTTGTAACATTTGCGATTACTATCGATATTAAGGTCGTTGATTATCCAGTGAGAACCACCGTCAATTTTCCCTTAGCAAATCGTGCATATTTATCAACGACGCGTTTCAAACGAGGACATTGAAATGTTGGCAAATATTTGTTCTTCCCGTGCGATGCTCATAGATTATTTAAGACACCGATGTAACTGGTTCGTGTACACACGTGCAAGTCGCGTCGGTCCACATGTTTGAGGTAGTTGTATCAACACGTAATATATTTACACTTATGTCTACGCATGCCCCGTATTTATGCGCATATCGGCGGAATATGTGAATCGCAGATATAAACGGGCGTTTGCACGTATTCAAGCGTGCTTGTGTACAAACACGAGACACGAAAGATCACTCGGCCATAAACCATGGCGGTTTACGTTATCGTCTGGCCGGATCTACCCGTCGGCAAACTGCAGCAATTTGGCTAACGTTCCTTGCGCTCTCTGTGCACGTGGAAATTGATAGGGCAGAAACGACCAGCTTCCATCCAGACTCATCTGCCAGACGGCAAGTGTTTTTCTCGCTATTCTTCCGACGCGTTCGAATGATAAACGATTCGCGAAAGATGTCCCTCTTGTCGAATAATGCCTCGAAGATAATCTATAGGACGTCTCAAAAATATTGGAAGATTATGTTCAACTCAAAGAATTTGAATTCCTCTACGTCTAACCCGCAATTATTGCGCTAATCGAATACTTGAAAGTACTTGTTAGCGTCAATACGTGTGCAAGGGTGGCACACGTGTCAGGGTCAAGGCAATTTTAGAGACTATGACCTAATTCTCAAGGGGTTACCGATAGCCAGGACCGTATGTCTATCATTGGTCTTAGGCCAGGCGGTAACCGATCCTTTAGGCGCGATAAATTCTAAGAGTCGCGGATGTTATAACGAAGAGTTCGATTACCGATCGCCAAAGAACTCGCAAGGGGTCGATGATTAAAAATCATTGTGCTACGCGACGTGTGCGAGGTGATAAGGGGGTTCTTCAAGGATCTGGCCACGGAGTTGGAAAAATGTTTCATCTTCTGATAAGAGGACGGTGAAGATCGGTATGGCACCTTACCTCAGAATCTCGATTGAAGGAATAAACACCTCTCAATACTATAGAATTCTCATTTCTAACATACTATTATTTTTAATTTGTGAAAAGTTGGATGCATTTCGAATCGGTAAAAATTGTCAGGCGAATTTCTAACACGCGTACTTCCGGAATAAATAATTTTCCCGTGCTGTCGTGTCCAGCGACATAGGTCGAGGCGAACTATCGACGGAAGTTGGTTTACGAGCTGACTGCGACCAGTCAACGCGAATGAACACGTTGTCGACTGTTTGCCGAGGTCCGTTTCGCGGTCCAGACGAGGCAAACACACGTAAACCGATTGAATTGTGCGTAAACGCCATCTCTGCGAGTAAATGAAACATTCAGGAGAGGGTAATTCGAAAGTGTTCGAGCAACTGTGTTGTTTTTCCGCACGGAGAACGAGTTTTGGTCCGGACGTAATTTGCCAAAAGTTTGAATATCCTACCCCGTTTAGGAGTTGTTCGTTCTAAATTAATTCGAATGACGTACTACAAATAATGGGTTAATTATTTAATTAAATTTTTCCTCTGTTAAAGGCTCACCTTCGCTCTCTGTCACCGCTGCATTCTTCCCCAGAGCAAGCCCTTTTTTGGTGGGTGCTTTCAAGCAACGTTCTGCCAGCGAAACGAAGTTTTCCAGGGGAACTAAAGTCATTTCGCTCGTGCAATCTAAGTTAAGTGACTTTCGAGAGCCCCGGACGACTAAACTCGCCTCCGGTGGGTCGCTTCTCGCACGTTGCGATCAACCCTTTCTCTCTCTCGGTTTGCACCCATCTACCAAGGGTGGGAAGTTTAGCGATGGTAGAGGGGTCATGGATTCGAGATCTAACGAGAGAATTACGTCGTCCGTTAGGTTCCACGGGTGCTTAGGTAACTGAGAAATCGACTCTAAAGCCACCATTCTTTTCGTCGACGCAAAGGCTCCACGGTTACACGTCACTCTACACGACTATGTCTCAGGATCATTGCAACACCAACCGAAGAACGAAGACTAACGGTTTCAAGTTGCTTCGTCTCTTATCGGTCCGATTTTTCAACTTGACAGAACACGGTTCCACGTTTTAACTGCGAGGCGTTACTTTTGTTAACTGACCTCTGATAAGCTGACCTCTTGAGCTGACCTTGTTGAGCTGACCTCTGATAAGTTTGAATTATGAATGTATTGGTGGCGATCAAATACTAAATCCTACGTTCATTAGTTAATGATATTATAATCTGTTAAAAAATATCCATTCTATGTAGCAAGAAATTTCAAATAAAATCATTTTCCTGTTAATTGGGAATGCAAAATGTCCTTATTTTAATTTATACCCGGTTCTCTATCCATATATATGGTAGTAAGTCACTATTAACGCGAAACCATGGAAAATGGCACATAGATATCCATTCGTAAGACCACTGACACCAGAAAACGAGCGACGAAGCCATTCTGACCGGTGCTCCACCGAGATTACCTCGATTTTCGAAAAGTCACGAACGACCGTTTGCTCGTAAATACAGCTATTCCACTTTTTCCTCCCTCCTTTTCCCACCGGCAGAAAACTGACGGATCCGAGCTGTGCGCATAGACCACGGTTTGTACAGACTGACGGAAGCGTATGAATCATGAAACCGTAAAGTGATATCGAATGGAATAGAGACTAAGTACATACATGGGTACGTAAACGACACCGTGTGTGCATAAGCTGTTGACCGTTAAAAATGGACAACTCATGGCACGAGTTATTAGAATCGACTCCGAAGAAAGTATGAGAAACGGTTCGATGTGAACGACAAATGAAATTCTCGAAGAAATATTAACCAATGGTAAACAACAAACTGATATTTCGATTTTTATTTGTAATGAAAAATCATCTGGTTAATGATTTCATCAGAATTTGCACATCATCAGTTTTGATAAACGAATCTCTAAAATGTTTTTTTTTCTAAAGGCTATTTGATGTTCCACCGAAAGCGACAAACGAGAGAGGATCAATATGATTAGCACAGGTGCGCCTTGTTAAATTCAACCTCGTTCATCATGGTCATTGTTAATTCGACAATTATACGGTGCCGTGAATACGCGGTCGTGACTCGTTACTAACCGTTCATACACAATCACACCAACGTTACTAATTAAAAGTCTACGATACGTCAACGCCCATTTAATTTTCTCTCGCAAGCCTACTCAGCAACTTGTACCAACACGCGTTTCACTACATCGACGGTGTGAATATTACAATTCTATTATCGATCTCTTATCGATCAATCTTCGTTAACAAGGCAAAGAGTTAACGCTCTCTTTTTATCCTCTATCTTTATTCTTTGTTTGCCAAAAGTAACACAATCAACGTGGAATTTTAACAAGATTTGTTAACGAGTCTTTCTTTGAATCATCACCAACGATCCGTATGCTGTTCAGTTTGACGAAAAGAAGGAAAAGTTAATGAAGACTAATTTCTCGAGAACGAACTTTCGTCTGAGATAGTTGATCAATGCGGGTGAATCACCTCTACGTTTCCGTACAAACCGAAAGTTTCAACAAAAAGATATTCACGGTTGGTGGGAAAAGTTGGAATGTTCTCTATTTTTAATCCACTGATATCTTGTCTCATCTTAATTATTTTCCACATTATTTGATTTATTATATACATGTAACACATATTTCCTTTTCAAGTCACAGGACCAAATTAAAAAGAGAAACTTTAATTTTTATGGTTTTGTGCTTCAAATACTAAAAATTATTTCATAATAAAGATTAACCATCTTCTGATAATTGACATTTAAAAAGAATATAAAATATTTTCGTTCATTGCCACTGTTAAAAATTTAATACTGTGACTTTAATAATCTACATGTGCCACTGTTGGTTTCTGTTGATTATAAAATTTAAAAATAACATACCCATCAACTTCATGACCTCTGACTGGCTGATAAAGATGTTCAAGTATCCGTCGCTGCAGCCGACCAGCACCAGAAGAACCAACAATTTGCATCGCAATAGATCACACAATCCATCAGCCCAGCGCATTGTCTCGCATAATAACATCACGCACCCTTATAATCATGCGCGAGAGACCGACACTTTTCCCTAAGCACGTGACAATAATAAAAACCACGCGACAATCCCGTCGATTCCTCTCGTTTCGACAAACATTACTCGTATCTTCCTAACGTTTAAAATCATCGTTCTTCCCCCACGTGACGTGTCACCGCGAATAACAATGTCAAATCTTCAACTTTCTTATCGTATGAGAAATTATTAAAATTTAATTTTTCGTTTCGTTTTTAATAAACGTTTATGAAAATGTCAAGGATTCTTGAATACATCGGTAAAAATTATCAAGTGAGTTTAACGAAAGGTGACAGTCACATGGCGATACCAGTAGGACTGGTATGACAGAAAATAGTTATGATAGCGGAGGAATGATCTCGACGACGTGGGCGCCGGAACACAACTAACGGTGGTCGCTAGATTTCGAGGCGGCGATGACACGCGCAGGCGCCCCTTTAGGGGTGCGACTCTGAATATTCATACGAGCGGCGAATCGCTCGACGAAACACGACGTGCGTACGCACCGTGAATCGCGGTAAGTGTAAATCACACCTTTGGATAACCTGTCAGCTCGAACTATATCGGGAGAATTGTCGAAATATCGAGGAAACAACACTATGGCGATTTTGTTCTATGTCTGCTTCCCGGGAAGACTTTTCAACTGGATAGATAATTTGAAACTCTCTTTAGAGAGCGGGAAAAGACTATATTAGTCCTTTGTCTCTTTCTGAAAATTGAAAGTGTCGACTTTCATCCTTTTTTTCTTTTATTCCATTGACGATTTGATCGAAGAACGCAGGGTAGTCGGAAAATGGTAGAATTTAATTAAAGATCTTTTCTCTCTCTCTAGTCATTAAATTCCTTCCTCTCCTCCTCTTCGTCACTGTTTCGCTTTTCTCTTCACCTTTCGTTCACACGCTTTGCTACACAAATGCACCAGCCCCATGCACAGTTTGCAACTAGGATTCACGATTTGATCTTCGACGGTTTAACTTTCATGGTGTAGCAACGTTCCCTGCCGACGAAACGGGACTTTAATTATACCACCGGGTTAATTAATTCCGTCAAATCCTGCGAAGCACGCCCCGGTATCCACTTTGCTTTTTCCCCTTTTCTCTTCATCCTACCGAGTCGCCAAATTTATCCTCCGATGAAATATATTCGTGAAAAATATCATTATGGTTTCTCCTGAACAACCATACAACAGCTAGAATAAATTCCTTTTCTACTTTAGTTACCCTCGAAGGAATTTTATGCCAGTAATAAATTTGTACACTTTACAGAAGTTTGAAAAAGTTTTCAAAGTGCCTTAAATATAGTTAGCCATTTATTTTCTGGAATCCTTTGTTATATACGGCTCGAGTTGGAAATGTTAAATCACTTTTAAATTAAAGTGTCTCCTTATTTATCCGAGTTGAGCTTAACACGCGTGCAGCGAGACGGAAGTTTAATTATAGGGGTGAAATTAATTAATTCCGTGAAATCTCGTGGAACACATTCGAAGTATATCAGGACCGATCGGCAACTAATTAATGGTCAATCTGTTTTATCCTCAAGTTTCTATAGGTTCGTTCAGTTTTAATTCGTATAGAGCTTATCGTGTCTGCTGATGGAAATTATTGAAGAAGCAAAATAAAAATGAAACGTCGAAAATCTCTGTCGACGTTCTAGCTCGCTTTTGATAATCAAACGATCGTTCAAACGGACACCTGTAAAAAAAAGCTCATAACGTGTTCACGGTTGCGTAACCGTATAAATTGAGCCACGGGAAGTCGCGGTGTGCGCATTCAGCAAAATTGTGCGAATATGTATATAAAAGCAGCAGAGTGGATAGAGGCAAATCCATTAAATATTTGAACGGACGAAAGAGTCGAGGGAAGGATGATTCCCGGAGGAAGCTTCTGGAAGTAGCTCCCTTCGGCTCTTAGCCACTATACGTTATCCGACTCTCTGTATTAATATTTACATTTACATTTCTTCATCGTCCTTCTTATTTCAACTTGATACTGCTGTAGCTTTTAGAACAACCGACTTGAGCCGACTTTCCGACTCTCTTTTCAACGTATTATCATGGGTAAATATTCTCTGGCCAACGTATGAATCACGAGGCTGACAGTGGTCCGAATCAACGTTTTAGTTTTAATCTTGGATCCTTCCGTTTTTCCGTGACGTGTTTCGTTTTAAAATTGAATTCCTCACGTGCCAAGGGTAAAAATAATATTCCTGCTTAAATTGCAAAATTTCCCCCGAATGCTGGTTTCGAAATTTGAAACTGGTCTCGTTTGAAGATTAAATCGGGGACCTTTACGATAGTTTATTTTCACCGTGGCAATTAACGTCTTCAGAAATAATAATATGATAAGAACACTCTTGAGAGACACGGAAATGCAGAAATACGAATGCAGCTTCAGCAACGCATTAGCATCGAGTGCAATTAATTAGCAGTTGGGTAGCAGGAGGTGTAAATTTATAATGTTGAGCGTGCAAGACGATGCGGAAGTGAGAGTTGCGCGTGTTAGAAAGACCTGGGAGACACCGGTAGGGTTGACTGAGGACTGTGCGGTGAATCGGTAACGATCGGATAGATAGATGGGTAATGAAACGCCCGAATACAATTAGCGGTGAATTTATTTAATTAACGATCAAGTAGAACAGCCGATGAAACTGGCGCGACTGACAGTAGAAATGAACAAATATCTATATCAAATATAGCAGCCGAGGCGAGACTAACGAGGTCCTCGAGACGGTTCACTTCAATCAGCTAGATCATTAACTCTGATAATTAATAATGATCGGAAATCGATCGTAGTCGCTCGTTTCCGATTGTTTCGACGCTATCACGAGCGATTGTACTTTTCACGAAATTCATGTTCAAGTTGTAATTGCATCGAACTTCGGTTCAAAGTAGGGTGTTGATGTAGGAACTTTTTAATTGGTGTTAAAGCAATGAGATTACTTTCTATTCGAAAGTATTAAGGAGGAAAATCGATACGTAAATTAAACTGAAAACTTT